GACCTCCAGATCAACTTTTCTAACTCTGATAAAGCTTGGAGTTGCCAGTCCTGTCTAATGGGCCAACTAATTACCACATGTCCACATGACATCAAGTGGCATTTATTAGGTCCATCAACATGTCTAGGCTGTTTACAAAATGTGAGCTAGCCCATTCCGTGTCAGACTCTGTACCACAGTCTAGAATTACAATGATCCTCAGAACAGCCTCCAGCTGGTTTTAGCGATGCAGCTGTAATGGCTGGAATAACTCTTACAGGGCCTGCTTAGGATCGAGAAGGTGGCAAACAGCTTTCCAGTAGCATCCCTTTCCTGCCGTCCTTGCCATACACAGCGGATCAGCAAAGGACTTTTCATATGCTGGAACATCACCACCATGACCCTGTCAACTGCTTGTTGAGCTGCCCTGAGACACGGCTACAGAACAAAGCAGGAGTAAGAGGGGTCAGGATTTGAAACTGGGTCTAGAATTTGGCCTAGTTAGGTTTGTAATGTTGCCTGTCCCTGCACCAGCTGAACAAAAAGGAGTTTTCATAGACCATCCAAAGGGTTTATCTGTACCTACTAAGTCCCAAGAAGCAGAGCCTTCTGATCTTATCTGAAGGAGGACTGAACTTCAAATGCCCATACCTACAATTTCACAATCAGCTTTCACTGGCACAAGGGAAATAGAGCATATACCGAATGCACCAAAGACAGGAGAAAAAAAGAAAAAAAAAAAAGAAGACCTTACTTTTATAATCTGAAAACTGGTTTTGGCTCTTTTGAGTAGTTTAAAACACTTGCATTTACTTTCTGATTTTTATATCAAAGCAAAATGCAAAGCAGGTGATACCACATCATCTGCCTGCTTCATTTCGAACTATTTGATTTGGAAGTATGATCAAAGAAATCCTCTTTGCTTGATAAGTAAGCAGTGACATTTCAATCCAGTTATTATCATATGCATTCCTAAAGGACTCATCACTGTAAGCATCTAGACTACGGTAACCTGGGATCACAGACACTTTCTGTGATCACATCTTCTATTGCATTCTCAGAGCTATATTTAAAACATACTCTAAATATTCTAAACTGTGTTACGTACTGGTTGCTACTCCTGCCCTTTTCTAAAGCAATGCTATACACATACAACATACATATATGTATACTTCTGTTTGAAGCCATGCTGAAAATCCTGGGCTTCCACAGGGACAGAAGGGAATATGTGCCCCACACGAAAGAGCAGCTGCCAGTGCTGTTAACACTGCTCTTCTGAAATCATGTCTCAAAGCAGCTACAAAAAGCTTGCAGTGTCACAGTAGAGATTTTCTAGTGTATGAAACTATTATATAGCTGTTACTAGACTTCCTGGGCGGTTAGAGAAACTGTGTGGGAGACAGGTTACAAAAAGGGTCCCCTACAGACACCTCCAATCTGCAAATACCCATTAGGATGAGCAGACATGACCCAGCAAGAGGTACGGGAGCAACCACCTTGTCATGCATCACCTGTAGCATTTTCTTCCTGTCTCCAGAAATAGTGAACAGGGTAGGATGGTGGTACTTACAGGTAGCAATAAACAAGTATTTTCTAAATGGTGAAGAGTTAAGCGTTGAGAATAAGATCACACTGCAGTCTAACCACGTTAGGATGCAAAACTTGTGCAATCCAGCCCATCAATATCCACTTACCTGAGCTTGCAGCCAATTCAGCATTACAGTAATATGGTTTTATTGTTACATGTTTGCTGATGATCAATTTACAAAGTCATTTCTGAGTCATAATGTATTATTAACATCAGCAGGGAAGACCACTGTCTCACAACCTGGGCACTGTCATATTCAGACTGAGTTACAGAGTCATTCTCCTCCATTTGGCTGACACCACTTTGTCTGCCAGAGCCCATATTCTTCTAGAAACTTCCCAAAAGACCTTAAAGAATAATTTAACTTTTGTAGCTCTACCAACAGCCACACTTTTCAAGTTGAAACGAACAGCTGTAGAGACCACTGCATCGTAAGTTTTGAAAAAAATGACTGGATGGATTTGGATTTTGTCTTTGATAGATTCATCACACAAGTTGAGCTAACAGTGAAATTTTTTTCCCGTTACTACTACAATAGTGACTTATGACAAATAAGTATTTTGGATCTCATGCTATGCCTGACCCACAGAAGACATGGCTCTGTAGCAAAGTTAATTTGACATTTTAGTTCAATATATAGCAACTGTCCAGTCTGGAGAGCTCCAGATCATTCATCATTATGTCACTCAAAATGATGGCACATCAAAAAGGCTGCTAGTCGTGCCGGTTGTGTCCCTTTATTAGCAGACCTACATAAGAGCCCAGTAGATTCAGTTTATCAGTTTACTCTAACACTCCCTCCTCATTCTGCACACTAATAGCAGTTCAAGTACAGCAGATAACAAAGGAACACAAGAACTTAAAACTGTCTCCTCTGTTTAGCATCCAATTGTCCTCTTCCATAAGAAAAGGACACCAGAAGTGACTTATTTCTTGATAAACATTTCTCAGGAAATTAGCAATCCTTCAAAGGACAATGGTTAAGCACCAAAAGCGGTGGAATTTCCTTGATTCCACTTAGCCCTAACTTACGTCCTTCTGATGTAATTTTTTCAGACCACATACACACTCTCAAATCCCCCATCCTGAAGGCAAACGTAGTGCCTGGCTAGTCAGCAGACCAAGCAAAACAGAGCTCACATGGTAGCATCTCTCAGGATGGACCATAAATTAAGGCTTCTCTTCTACCCAGGTGCCAATTTTCATCAAATTTATAGGAGCTTCATTAAAACTTCTCCATCTCATGAATTTTGTTGACACTAGGCAATACAGTCAAAGTTGTGAAGACAGGGCCAGAGGATAACAGAGATAAGGATAGATGATGTGACCGTAAGTCTCATTTTCTCAGGAAATCAGAATAAAAAAACAAGACCACAAATACACACATGAACTGAAACTCCTAGTATCAGAAATCTTTTAAAGAAAACTAAAATATACAGTTAATATATAGTAATAATTAATTTCTCAGAGAATGAAAGCTGTGTTAAAATATTCAGAAAATAAGTTATCAGTTAATTTGCTCCAAGGCAAAAAAACCCACCCCACCACTGATTCCCAGAAGCAACACAGTGATTGCTCTAGCTGCAATAAGCATTATTTTCAAGAGCTAACATATGGCAAAGAACATTTCCTCTGTAAGGGAAAGTCTAGCTGAACAGAATTACGGTTTGATTTCAAGTTCATAGCCTGGTAAAAACCCCAATCTCCAAGCCACTCTCCCCCTCTGCAATGAGCATTCCCTGCGTATACAGGGAATTTGCCACTCTAGGTTCAGGTTTTTGTCCTCCCAAACATCCCATCCACAATCTCCTGTAAAGCATTAACAGGCTCTGAGGAGCCTCTCCTTCACAGAGAATCCCACTGTTCTCCCAATGGGAAGAAAGCATTTCACTAAATCACCACAGTGATTTATTTTAATGTAGAAACACTTGCAGTGGTATAATCCAACAAACACAGATGGTAATCTGTCTAATTTGTGCATAGTAATTAATAGCATAAAAGTACACACTGTCAAAACAGGGCAATATAAAAATATCAAGAGCAGGTTTCCCTTGTCCTTGGTTAGATTATTTTATCAAAAGCTGTATGTAGATGTGTGAACGGTTTTAGGTACATTGCACAGAGAAGAAAATTAAGTCAGGGACAGATCTCAGTCTGGCAAAGGAAACACGAGACAGATCCAGACTTACGGAAGAGATGAATTTATAAAAGATGCTGAAACTTCTGTTATTTGGCCCTCAGCCTTTGGCACAGACAGGGGAGGGCATTATACGATTACAGTTTTAACTGCTACCTTACTTAAGCAGTTGCCCATGTTCTTACAGTGTACACCTGGACCAGTAAACTTTTTTAACCAAAACTATTTTTGATATTTCAGAGAGTAAAATATTTATCAAACATTTTAAATATCTTTCCATTCAATAGTCCACATTTTATTTTAATTAGATCAATGGTAGTTTGCTACTGTTTCATAGTAACATGGCTTGTTTACCTGAAGAAACTACTTGGATTTATGTTACCTCTCTCAAACCTAAAATGTGATTTGCTGGGTGAATCAACCCAACCAAAGACAGTTCTGATGCTGCTGTGAAGAGAGCAGGATGACAAATAGCCACTGATACAGATTTTTTTTTTTTTTGGTGTGTGGGCATGTCAGAAAACTGTGTCATTCACCTTATGGCATCTGAGTCAAGCTCAGCCCAGGTGAAGAGGATAATAAATGGCTGCTAAGGCAGAATTACATTTATCAGAAGCAGTCTATTAGACCAACAGTTTGGTAATTCACACTAGGTGCTTTCTCCTGGATAACAAGTACAGTATTTCAGACTGTCAGCGAGTTCAGGAAATTCTCCTGTTTCATTCAGTAACACAACACTGACAGAGCAGAAAGCAACTCCACTGCAATTAGTGTTACTGATCTTCCTCAGATTACTAACATGGAAAAAAAAAAAAAGAAAGAAGTGATGTTGAAACACTAATGAGCTATGGAAGTCAGGAAATATCCATACCATGAGGCTTCACTACATTTCTGTAGGTGTGTTTTCCTGTTTGAGTAATATTATCCTATTCAGAAATGAAAAATTTCTTACAAAGGTTTCTTGTGCTTCAGCTAAATACATACATCTCAGACTTGTCCCTCCACCCACATCCATCCACTGTTATTGTCCTATGAACAACATCCATACTTTATAACAGCAAATTTCACAAGTTAAAAAAAAAAAAAGAGACTTTAGCATTCAGGGACACCAGATGTTTCACAGATGTGAAAAAGCACTTTGATAATATCAAAAAGCAATCATTTCTGCACAAGAAAGCACAGTAAATAGTTTAGAAAAACAAATCATGGATCACTATCATGCAACCAGATTCTCTTGTACAAACACCAAAAGAAGGAGAAAATAAAGAATGCATAGAACAAAAAGTTTTCATTGACCTGATTTGTCAGAGATGTTGGCTGTGACTGGCGTGGTGGAGCAGCTTGTGTTAGCCTTTGCGCTGTCCTTGGAAGAACCAACTTTGGGTTTATTTTTCGTTGCCTCTAGTGCTTTGACCTTCTTGGCATGTTTACTTCCTTTGTAGTGGGCCTCAGCCTGGCTCTACAAAGGAGAACAAATCAGGCTCACTTTTTTCTGTATTTTTATATAACACAAAGGATGACAAGGCAGAAAAGTGACACTTTCAATAGTAGGCACCATATTATTCCACCTAGAAAACTTTAGTAGCTTTATACTAACAGTGTTCATAGATGTAAGTTCTTACATATTCAAATGACAGGATTTTAATGCATGGTACATGTTACAGTAACTCAGATAAAGAGGCTTCAAAATTACATAAAGCTCTGTCACTCCTAATGTAATTCTTTGCTTCCATGTTGCTTAAAGATTTAAAGCACTATAAAAATGTAAATACATTCAATTGAGAAAGATGCTACTCAATTTTCATGTACTGTTCCCTAGTATTTAATGTTTGTAGTTAGAAAGATGCACCATACTGTAACAGGACTAAATAATGAATTTTTCCTTCTGTTTGAGCTAGTACAAAAGTCAAAGTATTTTCAGTGTTACACTAACAGCAATTGAAACAGGCATTAATGACATTATGACTTCCCTCTTAGATCAAGATAGAAGGGTTAAAATGAAGAAACACCATACCCATAAACTTCAGTGGACCCAAGTAAAACACAGAAAACTAAATACATCTCCATCTTGATTGTTTTATAAATTGCCTTGAATAAATTTTTTCAAAGATTAAGGGAAATGGAACCTGAAGGACCAGAAGGAGAGGATTTTTTTTTTTTTCTCTAAAGTGCTTTATATATACTATATATATTATATATATTTACTCTTCTTGGTCTGCCCAAAACAGAACAGTAGAAATATGTACTGTGATATAACGTTTACTTCACCTTTTTCTTAAAACTATCTTGAGAAACTAGGTCAGTGTTTTTGAAGTTGCACAACTGAAGCTAGACACATAAATAAATGCCTGTTTTTTCAGTGATTTGGAGTCTCCATTATCATTCCTGACTCTACATAACCAGCTGCCTTGACAAATCAGGCCACTTTGTTAGGTGCAAAACTAAGAAACTACATGCATAATAGAAACTCCAAAGCTTGGAAATTTCAGCTAATGAATTTAAACATTTTTCTTGACACCTTAAGAAATCAATTTACCAAAAATGGCCAAGAAACAATTTCATACAAAAAACCAGTCTTATTTTCACAAGATTACACTATTTAGCAATAGCTTTGCATTCTTAGTATTTCTAAACATCATTTTAAAAAATTATTTCAGACATACAACTAGGTGCCTCTATTGAAGGTTACATATTAACTAAAAAAGTTAATATTGTAGTATATTCAAAGTAAAACACTCAGAGAAAGCATGCTTCATGTAACCAGATAACCACATCTCGGCACTGGCCTTATAACAACATCAGTACAAGTAAACTCTTACTATGTTCATGCAAAAACGTTCTCTCTCTTCAATTGATTACGACTATTTTAGTTTATTTATTTAGTTCACTGTGTTAAATGAAGTGAGCCATGAAGCAAGTCACATGCTTTTAATAAAAAGCAACTATAACATCTAAGATGTTTGAATTCCATAAAGAGTGCTGCCATAACAAGGAAAATCATTTTAAGATCAGCAGAAATAGGTATTACAATACAGTCACGTTGGGACAGCATAATAACAGGTTTATCATATGGCAGAGTGTAAGTGAAGAGTAGAAACAGGTGGACCAGGCAATAAAGTAAACAGTGTGTTGGAATCCTCACAAAAAATTGCATGCACAATTAAAACTGATGGAGAGCTGCTGCTAAAATAGAGGAGTGAAGTTCGTATACATCAAAGCTTGTTAAGTTATTATACAACTTGTGAAACAGTGTTTTCCACCTCAAAAGGATAGTGTACGTGACATGGTGTGGATGCATCTTTACTTTTATAGGAGATTTCAGTAAGCAAGCATTCAGTAAGAAAGGCTGCTAGATAAGTTTTTCTTTGAATTCCTTTGAAATAGAGGGTTTTTTAAAAAAAACTTCATTATAAAAACAGTAAAGAGTCTGCTCATCAATTGCTATGAAACAATTTCTTAATTTTAAAACCTTCAAACCATTAAGACATGTACAAACACAATTTAAGAATTATAAAGAAAAAACTAAACAGCTATACCACTACTACTACGTGCACTACTTAAAGGGACACTTGTCAACTTCTGGGTTGGACCTCTTCAGTTCTGAATGTGGGCAGAGGAGCACAGATCTGTTTGCACGCTGTTATGTCAATGGGCCTTACACAGGCACAGGAGCAAAGTCTCATCCTGTCTCTCTCCACCTTTGCTGGGTTTTGTCCATTTTTCTTAACCTTTGCTGTTGCTACACAATGCAGTAGAAGGAGTGTTCACCATCAACAAAATTAAATAAACTATTCACACATTACAGTGTACAGAAAGTGAAGCTAAAAATTGAGGTGTATATATACCCTTTCTGTTCCAATACTTTAAATACTAGCAAAACCAAAATTTTCCTCTTGAGTATTCTCAAGTTGATGATGTCCCTTTAAATATTTGAACTCTATGCTCTGTGCATATGTGTGCTGTTGATACGATCATATGCTGCCTGAGGCCAAAGCTATAACATAAGAGACATAAGTGCACTCAAGAGAAAGACTTAGTAAGTCAATTCCTTGATAATAAGCCTTTCTGCTGATATTTGCAATAATAATGCCTGCAATATCAGTAATAACCTACTACAGTCTTTGACTCCCTTCATTCAGTCCTCATATAGTGTACATGAGACCTGTTGAGAACAAACAAGCCCAGGCAGAATTAAAATCAAGATTTCCATAAACACAAGCAAAGCTTCATGGAAATGTGGTGAATGGACTCACTTTTGATATGTCTTGTAATTATTACAATCTTTCTATTATCAGATTCCTAGTTGCACATTATAAGACCAAAAGGTATTGCTATGACCATCTAAGTAAGGTTTCTGAAAACACCAGCCTTTACCAAAACTGTTTGAACTAGTCCATATTCCTTTGCTGAAAAAAACTGTCTAGCCTTGATTTTAAAATAGCAAAGGATTAAAAACCCACCTTTGGTAAATTGCTTCAGCAGTTCACTTTTTCAGTTAAGTACATACCATTTATTTCTACACCAAATTTGTCTAGTTTCAACTTCCAGTGTCTGGGTTTTGTTAAATCGTTGTTTTTTAGGCTCTTTCAACTAATCTCTGTTCCATGAGCAGAAACACAGATACTCTTTCCAAACATGAAGTTAGAGGAGCATTCCTTGAGGCACTGAAGCAATGTTTCCTAGCCACATAAGCACTATTTTCTAACCCTTTCAGATACACCTGAAGTTCAGGGTTTGCTTATTATCCACTGTGGGATAAATAATTTGATTCAGTTGCCTTTTGGTAACTGAAATGCAATACCAACACAGAACTATGTTCTGCGTAACGGTGTTAAAAAAACATTGCAGTTTTCTAGTCATAGCAAGTCATTCTTTAAAAGGATGGCTGTGGGCGTTTGAACTTGGAATGCAAGTTCTGATTAATACTGGCACCAATTATTCTGATTATTAATGTCCTGATCATTACTAACCCGTTTTATAAAATATTTGCACAGGTGCCACCTTAAAGGCAAACATATTTGCTCAGTCCCATTTAAAACTTGTTTCTGACAGAAATACAACCATACAATACAGGTTACAAGCTTTGTAACATACACCACTGAAATACTAAGCATATCTTTGAAATAAGCCATGACATATAAAATTTTATTTTTAGTTAAGAAGCAGAACATTTATTTTTGCTCTGGTAATGCAAAGGAAGTTCTGTACACACAAGGCTTAAAAGTCTCACGTAATTTAGCAGTTTTAATACAAAACCCCAATAAAATACAAAATGAAATTAAGAGTAAATATCTTAAGAATACAATATTTTAAATGGATATTGAATGTACTTTTGATCATCATTAGCATTAACTAAATGAAGTACAACTAATTCATGCAAATTCTGTATCATCAAAACAATATTTGAGAAAATAAAAAAAGTTAGGAAAAAACAAAATAAAGATATGTAACCTTAACTAACCTCTCTGTACTCATGTACTGTGATGCTTTTTAATTGCATAATAATTTATAGGGCTGCATTTACTGTAGGGATGAATCAAGTCAACAGTAAAATAATTTAACTGTGCCACAAATAATTATTATTGGATTTTTTTTTTTAATTTCAGAAAGATTAAGTTAAATTTATTGCTTATATAATCAAAGTTAAAAAGTCATCATTGAACTTCTATTATTATTACAACTTCTAAATGAAATGCATACTAGGTTAAGGAGGGCAATTTTTGAGAAAGTGGAATAAGAAAGTATTTCATATGAAAGAACTCCCTATCTAAAAGGAAAATCTAATTTCCACTTGGTTCTAAAACTGAGTGTGGTCTACTAGCTTGGAATACTGCGACATTTAAAAATGGAATTCCCCTACTTATTAGGCAGAAAAACTTTAAGTTGCAATAAATGTGTCATTTAAATACCAGAATGCAAAAAATATCTTTGTACTGACAAGCCAAATTCCACAAAAATGTTTATACATTTGCCTGCCATTACCTTTTGATCAACAGGATGCATATTTTTAAGACACTAAACAAATGTCTAAAGATTTAGAAGATCATAGCTTAGTGAAAAACTGTGCTTGAATTCAGTTGCAAAGAATTAAAAATATAATTTACAGACAAATAAATACGTAGTATTCTCCCATCATTTTTCAAATTTCTACACCTTAAAATGATGGGAGGACACCCATCCTCTCTTTAAGCAATCTAGATTTTTAGTTCTATTCAAAGTCTTTAAGTAGTAATTAAAAAACCCAATTAATTAAAACTTTTTTTTTTTTTTAAGAAAGCCTTTTACACCATAAGGATTAATGACTTTGTTGTAAGAAAGGACAAGTTTTTCCTCTCTTAAAAATATATTTAATTGAGACACAGAAGTGATCTAAATGTTACATTTTATTTAAAATCTAAAGTTAATAGCTACTTTCAACTCCAAATTAAGTTTGAAATTTAAGTATCAGGACGTTAAACT